TTTAGACTGATCAATGGTATCCCACTTTTTCAAAAAGCTCGAAAAAAATGATACATTTGAACCAGAAGTAACAGGCCAATAATTTTCAAAAACTGCCCGTAAAACAACTTCTAGGATATGATGACGACATGGAAGATAAACTAGTGTTCGCTGTAAGATTCTCTCGATTTGAACACACGCTCCGTTGAATTTACCTGATTAATAAATAAGAACAATAACTAGTGAAAGGAAATTATAGGAATTTTAACTGGTTATAACAATAAATATATGAGAGTAAATCACGTAAAATGAAGTATTAGGTTTGTGAGGAACTAACAGAAAGACTAAATCGATATAGTTTACCTGTGTTAGCAGCTGTTGTATCAAGGCACATAGCTTTGAAGCGAGAACCAACGTGCCATTGGTTTAAGGTAGTAATGGTAGCTGACGTTTGACTTTCAGAATCGCCTTTAGCCATTTTCGGGACGCCAAGTAGTTGTTCAACACCTGAGACAGACAATAGAATTGGGAGCCTTTCTACAGATTGAGGATCAATAAGATCTTGCAAAATTTTGCCGTCCCAATGTAGAACAAAACGATTTTCTATATAATCAACAGTTTTGCCGGTAAAAATAAATGTATGAAGAAAAAAAATATTTTTTGCCTAAAATATTAAATTTTTTTAAAACTGTTGATTATATAGAAAAACGTTATATGAACAGATTAAAGGAATTGTAATTTTTAATTTTTTTAAATTTGTTTGAGCAAAATCGGACTAGTGGTTCTCGAGTTATGTCAAAAAAAGACCACCAAAGGTGACAATTTCCCCTATATGATAGTTATATATATATCTCGATTCCTAGACGTGACCCAGCGAAACGTCGGGACACGTATAGCTTCTTTTTTACCGATATAACTTTCCCCGGTAGTTTGAACCCTTCCCGATCACTGACCCCTACCATTTGTCTCACAGTGTAATTACCAATGTGATCCACTTCTATCATATCATCATTGGTAGCTGGAGATATTTCTAGAATTTCAGATTTTTGGGACAGAAAAAATAATTTCTTATCATCGTCGAGTAATTCTTCCACATTATTTTTCGAAATCTCAAATAATTTATTTAGATTTTTTAAAAAAAGTTTCTCTCTCTTCTTTTGTGCAACCAACTTTTTTGTTTACAATTTTTTTGTAACAGTTTCCAACAATTAAAGATTTTTGTCAGTTTTATCGTTGCGTATTGTAATCCACAAGTCGGTATTTCAGCAGCACACCGTATTTTATTCACTTTAGTAATTGTACTTTTAGAACTTTCTTTAATTGTTTTTTTTAGAAAAGTGTGTCCATAAAAAAACAGACATAACCTCTTACAATTGGAAGCTTTCTGCCAACAAAATTTTCACTGCTATCACCAATCAAATAAATTGAATTATTCATGATTAGTTGGCTACTTATTATAATTATATTCAATATTCCAAAATTATTAATTATTAAA